GACCATGTTGGACCATGTTGGACCATGCTGGACCATGCTGGACCATGCTGGACCATGTCCTCTTGTGATCAGTTTAAAGGAAACCCCTTCTGAACATGTTCTGTCTTCCTCTCTAAGAGGCTGGACCTACTGACGGGACGTGGACTGGGTCATTGGTCGTCCAGTGGAGTTTGTTTGGTTCCTGGTCATATGTTTGGACCTCACATGGACTGGGCCGGTGTCCCCTGCTCATCCTCTGGGACGTGTTTGGAGGACAGCAGCAGCAGCTTCACTCTATAATTCATCACATGTGAATGTTTGATGAGAGCCTTCAGAACCAGGAGAACACCGAGGCTGCAGGCAGACCCGCTGGATCTAAGGACAAGATCAAGAACAGGAAATCAGGAGCAGGAAGTCAGGTCCAGGAAATCAGGAGCAGGAAGTCAGGAGCAGGAAATCAGAAGCAGGAAGTCAGGTCCAGGAAATTAGGAGCAGGAAGGTTTTTAAAAAAAAAAATTTTAAGAAAACTTTATTTAGCAAAAACAAGCCCCAGGAAGTCAGGCCCAGGAAGTCAGGAGCAGGAAATCCGGGGAAGGAAATCAGGAGCAGGAAGTCAGGTTCAGGAAATCAGGAGCAGGAAGTTTTTTTTTTTTTTTTTTAAAGAAAACTTTATTTAGCAAAAACAAGCCCCAGGAAGTCAGACCCAGGAAGTCAGGAGCAGGAAATCCGGGGAAGGAAATCAGGAGCAGGAAGTCATGAGCAGGAAGTCAGGGGCAGGAAGTCAGGTTCAGGAAATCAGGAGCAGGAAGTTTTTTTTAAATTTTTTTAAAGAAAACTTTATTTAGCAAAAACAAGCCCTAGGAAATCAGGCCCAGGAAGTCAGGAGCAGGAAATCAGGGGAAGGAAATCAGGAGCAGGAAGTCAGAGGCAGAAAGTCAGGAGCAGGAAGTCAGGTCCAGGAAGTCAGGAGCAGGAAGTCAGGTCCAGGAAATCAGGAGCAGGAAGTCTTTTTTAAGAAAACTTTATTTAGCAAAAACAAGCCCCAGGAAGTCAGGCCCAGGAAGTCAGGAGCAGGAAATCAGGGACAGGAAATCAGGAGCAGGAAGTCAGGAGCAGGAAATCAGGGGCAGGAAGTCAGGAGCAGGCCTCAGCGTCAGTTCTTCCGTTTTTCATGTTCAGGTCGGCGATGAGCAGCTGTTCTTTCATCTTTCATGAACTAAAGTAAAAAAGGCAGCCTCCATTGAGCTGCATTTTGTTTTCAACAACACTGATCGTTAGTAGAACAAGTCCTTTGGTCCGATCATCTGTCTTTGAGCAGAACCGGATCAGCTGTTAGATTCACAGTTCTGGAGAACTGTCTGGGAGGGCAGCTGCTGTGGTCATTATTACCATCATGCTTCTAACAAGACCTGCCAGCAAGACCTGCCAGCAAGACCTGCCAACAAGACCTGCCAGCAAGACCT